GACGATTAAAATTAATTAGTCGTAATCAACTGTACGATTAATGATAACAGCTTTTTAATCGTTAATCGCTGGCTGCGATTACTTTTAATTAATTTAAAACATTATTCGTTAATCCAATTAAAAATAAAATCTGATTAAATTGTCTAGTTTGTCCGTGTTTGAAACCAAACACCAGTTGTAGTAATTATTTTGTGTTTTACGCTTATAAAAAGCACATAATATACAAAAATTATAATTATTGTTATTAGTAATACATAAACTGGGAACTTTTACTTTCCTAGTTTGTATAACGTTTGTTGGTTTAATCTTAATGAAAATGCACACCAAATTGCTTAGATTGATGAGGAATTAACTTGCTTTGTGTGCACAGGGAAATTCCAGCATAACTTAATTAATCACCAAACCTACTTGACCAAATTAAGAGTTAATGATTAAAAATTAATTTTTTAATCGCGGTTACGATTAAGTGTTTAGTCAGATTAAAATTAATCATGATTAACTGTAATCAGATTGAATTTAATCGAGTTAGCTAACTGATTAAAACATAAATCGATTAAAGCCAACATTGATTTCACATACATATCACTATACCAAGTTTCAGTTCTCCCCCACAAATACTTCCAGAGATATGTATGTAATATGAAAATTCCAATTTGTATGGGAGGGATCTTGAGTTACCGGACTTACTTTCAGTCTAAGACCATCCTTCCGAAATCCGTAGTAAGTGTACTAAATTTCGTTCTGATCGGAAAACCGGTTAAGGAAGTAGCCTATTTTTCAATCCCGGTCATAAACCATCTTTGAACAAAATTTCATTTTCAAACAGGTGGCAATTCTTAAAAAAGTAGCCTATTTTCCAGCCTAGGTCATAAGCTATCTGTGTGCAAACTTTCATGCAAATCAGTTCAGTAACTTACGCGTATTAATTTAATTAATCTTTTCTAATACCTGATAACTCTTAAAATAGTAGCCTATTTTCCAACATAGGTCATAAGCTATCTCTGTGCGAAATGTCATGCAAATCTGTTCAGTCGTTTCCGCGTATTAATATAATTAAAACTTTTTTAACAGGTTGCAACTCTTCCAAAAAATTTGCCTCTTTTCCACTGTAGGTCATAAGCTATCCGCTTGCAAAATTTCATGCAAATCCGTTCAGACTTTTCCGCGTATTAATTTAATTAAACTTTTTTAGCAGGTGGTAACTCTTAAAAAAAGTAGCCTATTTTTCAACCTAGCTCATAAGCTATCTGCGTGAAAACTTCCATACAAATCAGTTCATTCATTTCCGCGTATTAATTAAATTACACATTTCTAACAGGTGGCAACTCTTAAAAATAGTAGCCTACTTTCTAACCCAGGTCATAAGATATCTGTGTGCAAAGTTTCATGCAAATCCGTTTAGTCGTTCCCGCGTATTAATGTAATTTAACTTCTTTAATAGGTGGCAACTCTTCCAAAAAATTATCCCATTTCCCTCTGTAGGTCATAAGCTATCCGCTTGCAAAATTTCATGTAAATCCATTCAGTCGTTTCCGCGTATTAATTTAATGAAACTTTTTTAACAGGTGGCAACTCTTAAGAAAAGTGGCCTATTTTCCAATATAGATCATAAGCTATCTGTGTGGAAATTTTCATGCAAATCCATTCTGTCGTTCCCGCATATTAAATAAATTAAACTTTTTTAACAGGTGGCAACTCTAAAAAATATAGCCTATTAACCAATCTGGCCCATATGCTCTCTGCGTACAAAATTTGATGCAAATCCGTTCAGTCGTTTCCGCGTGATGATTTCCCAAACATCCAAACATACAAACTTTCACATTTATAATATTAGTAAGAAGTAAGATTAGTAAGATTTTGCAGCAGACAATGCTACTGCAATGATGGGGTGTGTACACGGGGTTCAATCCTTACTTAAAACTATAAATAAAAACTTGTAGGTAATAGGATGCGTTTGTCACTCAATGAGTTTATGTCATCGGCTGCCTCCAAAGCTTTTCCATCCGAAGTAGAATTTTTAGCCAGGGATATACATCTATATTTTTCACATAGTTCAAAGCGTCTTAAAGAATATGAAGAGTTTCAAAACTTTTTTGATGTAAAAAAACACAAAATTTTTAAATCATCGCGAACTCGTTGGTTGTCGCTGGAAGCCGCAGTGCAACGAATATAAGAGCAATGGCAGGCTTTAACTCATTTTTTTTATGTAATGATTTTGAAGGAAATGACGTTGCCGCGAAAATTACAGAACGGTTAAACTATACAAACAAATGTTATTTTCTTTTTCTGGCTTTTGCTTTAAATGCAGTAAATATGATCAACTTAGAATTCCAATCGGAAATACCACGCTTTCACGTCCTCTTTAAGTCTCTACAGTTATATTTCAAAAATGTGGCAAACAATTTTGTCCACTTAAATTTAATAAACTTAAGATCTCTTAATAATATAAATTTTGAAGATCCTTCAATTTATAAGCCTTTGAATGACGTATATATTGGGCCAAGAGCTGAGATGTGAATATGTGAGGGGTATTTAAGTGTGGAGGAAGTTCTAGAAATAAGAACAAACTGTAGAGAATTTACACAATTCTATGTAAGCAAATTTTGAAGACCCTGTGTTAGATGCGGTTCAAATTTTAAATCCAGCTTCATTAGGTCAAACTTTGGCCTACTAATTCGCCTATTTCCCAATCTTATACACAATAATGAAATAGATTATGTAGAATGCGAATGGAGGCTTTTGATTTTTCAAGATTTACCAAAAGAAAAACAATTGGAAGAATTTTGGCATAATGTATTTTCTTTGCAGAACCCTTTGGATAAACCCATATATCCGGCTTTAAAAAAATTTGTTGGTGCATTACTAAGCTTACCTCACAGCAGCGCATCTACTGAACGCATATTTTCCCAGACCAAGTTAATTAAAAATCCTACAAGAAATTGTTTAAATGTGGACACTGTAGCATGAACCAACGACTACAGATCACGTAATCCGCCATCGTTGTATTTGTAATCGATTTTCAGAAACAAGTTTTCGTAGCGTTTTTGATGTTTTTTGGTTCGGTTTACATCGTCTTCTACCTCTTCGTAGTGATATTTTACCGATTTTATGTGTTTTCTGCAGTGATTTTAATTATAAATTTTGAGATATTACAAATTTATGTTATAATATAAAGTGATTTGTGATTGGAACAAGTTTGTGCGTCTGTTTGATTTGCCAAGAGGCGTAAGTTTGCGCGAAAAGTGGGTGCACATTTGTGGTCAGAACGTTGGCATTGAAAAAGCGGCCAGTGCCGATAATATGCGATTGTAAAACACTCTCAATCATTAAAACCATATTTTATGAACTGTTTTGCTAATTGTCATCAAGTTTCACTTTTTATATTTTATAATAAATACCAATATAATCGCACTCAATCACCGCGCCATTTTCGTTTTCTTTGTTTGTTTTCATTCTTAGGCAGATGTCAAAAACGCTCAGAAATTTACTTTTTTCATTATTTTCCGATTGCGTTATCTTGTTAGTTGGTTCATGCACTGTAGGCTCCTTAATGTTGATAAAACAAGCTTTCCCTCTCGGAAGTCTAGAAGACTGGGTTCCATCAAAAGACTTATTATCTAAGTATAATAAAACGTGAATTGTATTTACAAGTATTATACTATGTTTATTTGCGAAAAGCCATTTTCGTATTTCAATGTAAAGCAATATAACAATATTGCAAAAAAAAAACATGTACAAAATGTAACAATGTGATTTTATATAATTTTTAATAAGAAATGCATTTCTATTAAAATGCTAATAAGTACAAAATATATCAATGTGATTATTTAAAAACTTATATGTATTGAAAATGCATATGCATATTTATTGAAATACTTTAATTTAATACCAAGTACAAAAAGTATTTACTTGTGTGTAATGCTCAAATAAATGTGATAAAATTTATCAAGCATCAATGTAATTTTATCATTTGATGTAAAATTGCATTTAATGCAACTACAGACTTATCACTAAAAGTGAAGCGTGAATAATTTAAATAAATGCTACATTATCTCAATAAATTAAAAATGTGTTAATATTTTTGTTTAAATATTTTTTAGGGCTTGTGAATATTTTACTATTTTTAAATTTAGTAATAAAATAAATTCCAGGCTGCTCTCTACTAAAATTTAGTTTAATCGAAAATAAAACATTGATTAATTATATTTTAGTGTTTATGTAATCAAATAACAGCAATTTTTTATTGTATTTCCGCAGCGTTTGATTTTAAAGATATTCCAGCATAAAGAGTACGCAGGAACACACTAAATTATAACTTAATTAACTTTAAAGATAACTTTTATTGAGTTAAAAAATAATCGATTAACCAATCGGCTTATAATTAAACTAAATCGAAAAAACCCCACACCTAATTTTGCTTGAAAACCGTCACTACGATAATCACTTCACTTTTCCTCCCAAATCACTCCGAAACACTTCACTTTTTGTGTTTTCACTTCACTCGAAAATCAGCAAACGGCAGCACTGGTCGTTCCTCTTGTCCGCTTTTCTAGTTGCTGGTGCCTTTCGTCAAGTTGTTCCTTTATTTCATTCAGTGTCCTTCTTATACAGTGTTGCATCTGGGAGTCAGTGTTACCTGATTGTCCGATATTGTGCTGTGGTTACTCGTAAGTATTGTCCGGCAGTCAAATCCTACATATATTATTACTTTGGAGGTATTATATTCTTTTTTGGTTTTAAAAATTACGCTATTACAAGATCTCAATGTTAAAATAATAGATTTGTTAAATAGATTTCATGAATTTTAATTTAAAAAACAAGCTGGACACACAGCTGTGCACTAAAAATTAGGTGGCGATGGCCACATTGGTCACGCATTTATAGCAATAGTTGTGATCTTTTGAAAAAAGTGGGGCTTTTGAGACCCCACCTGGCTTATGAAATGTTAATTTACATGCATTTAAACATACAAATATACATATGTATACTTTATATTTCAGATGGGTGTTTGCGACATATTTGAGCCTAACCGAGCTGATTTTCGCCCCATGACAGAAGAAAAGGGTATTTATGTAAAGCATATAGAGCAATCAATCAACGTCAATATTCGAACACATCCTATAAATCAGCTTAAACGTAAGTAATTTCCAGTATATTTAAGACTGAATTTCAGCTGCCTTAATTGATCTGACGTTAGGTTTATCAGGTTTTGCTGTTCCCGTACACAAAAATCCAGCAAGGTAGGGGAAATCGAAAGACCAACGTGACACTTCACTTTTATGAGAAGCCGCTAGTTTCTGCTGAAAAAATTTTTGCCAACAGCAATTTGCCAGCAAGAAAAACGGTTGATCAAAGTCACATGTTTGCAAGTTATGGAAATATTGTAATTTATTTTGATGATTTTCCAGTTTAATATAACTTTCTACAGGATGCTTACATATAATTATAACGTCAATCAAAGCTCGTTTGTTAATCACCCCGTTTACATCGGCAAATCTCAGTTTATTAGTGTTTACTTTTACACTTAACATTTCGTTCGCGTACTTTTGCAAACATTTCATTCCTTGAGAGAGAACAAATAAAAATTAATTTTAATTTTTCTGTTGAGAGTTTCGGTTGGAAGAATACACGAATACACCTACATATTAGGTGCGCTCGTCTAAAAGTCCGGCTGGAATTGTCCAGCAATGAAATTCCTGAAAATTTTGAATCATTCTCTCTCAACGAGGGATGATTGCAGATTTTTAGGCGAACGCAATGTTTGCAAGCTTCACTGCCAGTTGGGGTCCATCAGGGGCGAACGCAGGTACACTAAGAAAAAGGATTAGTTTCGATAACTAAAGATATTTAGTTCCCGAATTTTGACAATATTTGGGAACTGTGACCAAGGATTGGAAACTATTACCATGGGTTGGTAATTATAACTTAATATATTCAAGCTTCTAATATTCATCTAGGTTGTACCAAATCGTTAATTCAGTTGAAGGGTTTGGTAAATACTAATAAATATTTTTTTGAAGCATATTTCTACAAATTCCATTCAACTTAAAGTATGGTTCATAAAAGGATGTCATTCAGTTCTGCTAATACAGATAAGCTTTTTTCAACACAAGGTTTAGTCATAGTTACCAAATCTTAGTTGAGGCAGCCACGATTTGGTTTAAGAGCGGAACATATTCATGCTTGTGAGCCGCGATTGAGAGAAATAGAGATTGCGCCAATCGCGGTACCGCTAATCCACTCTTTGTGATTTTGACAGAATCAGCTGTGTGCGTAACTTCATCTTGGTGCAATTGTTGATTGTGAGCATACGAAAAAACCAAATAAAAATTTTAATATTTGTGCGTTAATATTTCTGCATGGTTTTAAACAATTATTGAGACATTACAAAGCAAAATGAAGTGTGCCGTGGCAAATTGTAATAGTGAAAACATAAGGAAAGCGTGAGATATAAGTTTTCTTTCGCTTCCTACGGACGCAAATCTGGCGAAAAAGTGGAAGTCGTTCTGCCGGCGAGGATATGCATTAAACACCAAATCGAGCTATGTGTGGATAAAGCACTTTACTAGTGAAGATATTAAAAATAATACACAGTTCGAAATGGGTAAAATATTGTGTATTTTCATACTAATTGCATTTAATATTGTTTTTGTAAATGCCTTAGGTTTTGTAAAACTTCATCGTTTAAAACGTGGTGCGGTGCTTACGAAGATTAGGGTAGATTTACGAAGAAAATCTGGGGGATTCCCAGCGTGCGGAAAGAGCTCAGCACAGGGAAAACAAAAGAATTGTCAGCAAGTTACTTGAGCAGAGTGAGACTACCGTTGCCACTGCAAGTAACAATTTGCATTCATATAATGTTTTGCATTATACTGTAGCTAAGTTTTTATAGCCGTTGCGAGTGATACTGTTGATGCAAATATATCTGATGAAAGTGTGAAGCCACACTCATGCATCCTCTCGGAAATGGTACAAAAGTTTCATTATTGTTCATTATTAGCCGTGTTTTATTTGTCCAGAAATTTACCGCCCTATTCACACACCACTGACAAAACTCAGCGGCTGCCTATTGCCTTTACTACTGCGCCTAAACAAATGTCAATTTTATTGTTATGACCTACTGAGTAAGTGACAACGGCGAAACAATGTTTATATTGTGTTTTAGGCGCAGTAATTTTGACAGTAGTCATATGAGGCATTTTGTCAGTGTTGTGGGAATAGGGCGGTTAAGCTATTAGCTTATTTTGTATGGAGGACTTACCCAACATAATTATATTGGCTTATGAAAAGCAATCTTGGCTTGTATATTTAACAAGGGGCATTGCCATTCAGCATCAGAAATTTTCTCCTTCAGCCAATCAGAAATAGGCAAAAACTTACTCTGACACTATTTGCAGTCAAACACCTGTCAAAATTAGTCTAACATAGGAAATAAGCTAATTTCGTTTTATTTGACAAAGATTTAGCTATTTGCTTGTGATGGTTGAATAAAACATGCTTATTATTGTTATTCTTATGTTTATTGTAAATCTTATTTTTATGAATTACTATTTATTTTATTTTTCTGACACTTCCTGTTACTAGTTGTACTATAAAAGATCGTAGATCTTATTGTACTAATATTTTTTCGCAATAAATGAAATGAAATAAAAGTCATCAAATAAAAGCTGTGGAGTCAACAGCTGTGGAGTTTATGGTGGTTGGCTACCGTCCACAAATATAAATATGCACTCTGCATGGCTTTTTACAATGGCGAGTCCCAAAATTCACTTTGCTGCACACCTTCCTTCTGGTCTAATGAAATTGCAAACACTGTTAATGCATCCCTTTTTCATGTGCTAAAAATCGTACTTACCTAAGGGCTACATGTCCAAAATTATTGCTACGTGTTCCTAATTGATCAATCTTTTTATATTTATTGATTCCTGCAAAGTTGGGCCTTGTCATATTAAAATTAACACATTTTTCTGCATTGTTTGTATATTTTTATATGCGTTTTGGCATTTCTCTCTCGCAGTTGCACCAAGATGACGTCACGCAAAAATTACGCTCAAAAATCCTCTCTCATTGGCGCAATCTTGCATTATATCATTCTTGCTTGTGAGCCACCCCTAAATAATGCTCAGCGCTCTCTGAGCACATGTGTGCTTCACATACAGAGAGCGCCAGCTAAGCAATGCGCACAGTCCCACTTATTGAATCGTTTGAATGCGGTCATGATTCAGTAATACAAGGTTCGATAAACTGACAGTTGTCTCTCTCGCACCGCTCCCTTAGCAGTGGCACAGTGTTGCTTCTTTGCACATTTACATGGAAACAGTGTAGCTTTGGTGTGAAATAGAAGTATAAGATTTTGTGTAATATGTTTATATGTATATGCATATGAAGCATATTTAGCTGATGAAAACATAAACTATTTTTAAATTGGATGTTTACATCAATCTCATAGTAGTCTTATTTTAATTTTGAGTCATTTTGCAGTTTTTATACAGCTAAATAGCACATAAATTACGTAATTCACGTAGATATATCAATATTACGTTCAACATTTCGTTTAAAATACCAGATTTCCTGCAAATACATTAGAATTTACAAAAGGAGTTTCAGTACTAATTGCCTACTTTGCGTACTGTTCTACTACCATTTTCGCACCAAGAGATTTCATTCTTCCCCTTTCTCCGTCCTTCATAAATGCAACCTTTTCTAAGGGAGTTTCAAACCGCAGCTGTCAATAATTATCTAACCTTGTATTATTGAATTATGGAATGCGCTAGTATGCTGACCATCGCATAAAAACGATTCAATGAATTAGACTGTGTGCATGGAACTCATTGCTCCGCTACCGCTGTTCGTATATGGGCGAAACACAAGAATGATAGAATACAAGATTGCGCCAATGAGAGAGGATTTTTGAGCGTAATCTTTGCGTGACGTCATCTTGGTGCAATTGCGAGAGAGAAATGCCAAAACGCATATAAAAATATGTAAACAATGCAGAAAAATATGTTAATTTTAATATTACATGGCTCAGTTTTGCAGGAATCAATAAATATACAAAGATTGATTTATTAGGAACACGTAGCAATAATTTTGGACATGTAGCCCTTTAGATAAGTACGATTTTTAGCACATGAAAAAATGGATGTATTAACAGTGTTTGCAATTTCATGTAGACCAAAAGGAAGGTGTGCAGCAAAGGTGTGCCATTTTAAAAAGCCATGCAGAGTGCATATTTATATTTGTGGACGGTAGCCAACCACCATAAACTCCACAGCTGTTGACTCCACAGCTTTTATTTGATGACTTTTGTACCATTTCCGAGAGGATGCATGACCGTGGCTTTTTTGGAAGCAAATATTCCATGTCAGTAAAACATAATTTAAGCTGAAATATTAAATGTATAATAATTTGGGCACTGTTTTGTATTAGGTACGTAACAGCGCGGTAAGATGCCGCTTCAATTAGCGCCTGGCGACCTTATCCACTGGTGCATTACCTCATACCAGCACTAAAAGAATCAGGTACTAACAAAAATATTGCCAGCAAACTAAACCAGCAACTGTCTACATTCATCATGGAAATATACCTACTACAATTCACCAAGGAAAGGCCAACATAGTTCCATGTAGAAGCTCTTAGCTCAAACACTTAGCACAAAGCTCGATTTGGTGTTTAATGCATGTCCTCGCCGGCAGAACTGCTTCCACTCCTTCGCCAGGTTTGCGTCCGTAGGAAACGAAAAAACTCTTATATAGCACGCTTTCCTTTTGTTTTCACTATTACACTTTGCCACTGTACACTTTATTTTGCTTTTTAATGTCTCAATAATTGTTTAAAACCACGCAGAAAAATTAAAATTGTTATTTGGTTTTTTCGTATGCTCACATTCAACAATTGCACCAAGATGACGTCACGCACACAGCTCATTCTGTCAAAATCACAAAGAGCGGATTAGCGGTACCGCGATTGGCGCAATCTCTATTTCTCTCAATCGTGGGTGAAACACGCGTGTGGTCACAGAGCGCTCAGTAAGCTATGGCATACCGATCACGGCGCTAGGTAGAGAAAGAAAAGTGTGTGCTATGACCAGTGTTGCCGTTTTAGTCCTTTGGTGGCTAGATTTAGCTACCACATAC